TAAAATGTTACATGAAGCCATATAATGCTATGAATAGGATTAGGATCCAGGTGATCTATGCTATTAAATGGCGTATTAGACTGTAGACTTTCTAAGATTCCTTTTCTTATTTTGTAAAAAGCATCTGCTTCCTAAATCTAGGGATTTAATGAAAAAATGAGTTTTGTCTAATGACAACTGAACTTCAATGATGTATTTAAGAAAATACCACTCTTATGAGAAGACAATGAGATTTAACTATTTAAAAATTATGCAATTAACAGGCTCACTTTTGTCTGTTTGGCCACTCTGTCACTTGTACAGAACACAGCTAATCACTGCTCTCAAATACATGAAAATCCAGAACCCCATCCCCTCCATTAATCTTTGTGCAGTTCTGATGCAGCAAAGCACGCTCACCCCATTCCTCTCCCTGTTGTGCTTTTCTTCACAGCCTCTCTCTCTACAACCAGTTACTGTGGGTTTTTATTCAAACTCATCAAAACTGTGGCCTGTGAAATCCACAATGGCCCTTCCCTCCATACAGAGATTTTGTGAGTGCCACTATTCTTTGCATTGTTGCCACATGGCAATCAGAGATCTTTTTTGACAGAGAGTCTTGCTATGTCACCAGTGGCGCAATCTTGGCTCACTGCAACCTCTGCCTCCAGATCTCAAGCGATTCTCCTGCCTCAGCCTCTGAAGTAGCTGGGACTACAAGCACATGCCACCACACTGGGCTAAGTTTTTTATTTTTAGTAGAGATGGGGTTTCACCATGTTGTCCAGGCTGGTCTTAAACTCCTGACCTCAACTGAACCATACGCCTCGGCCTCCCGAAGTGCTGGGATTATAGATGCAAGCCACTGCCCATCTACCAGCTACCACCCAAACGCAACCAGAGATCTTAATCAGATCACAAATGATTCTTACCTTAGGGTATATCCTCCCCTCTCTTTCATCCCCAAGTTCAGCTCTCCAATCTATTTGCTTTTTAGTTCTAGAGGCTTCATTTTTCTTTTTATTTGACTGTCAACAGCCAGCTGTGTGTGTGTGTGTATTATCACATTTAAAAATGTAAATTTTCCTGCATTGAGCGAAGGACCCAAGAATCAACACTATTCAGTGGAAAAAACAAGTATCAACCAATATAAATTATCAGGTAATCTATGGGGGGCGAGAGGCCACTGAAGTAGATGCAGGGGTATTTTATAGTTCCAGAGTCCAAAAAAAAAAAAAAAAAAAAAGGTCTGGCAAGTTTTGTCATTTACCATGGTCAGTCACACAAAGCAGCTCACATCTACTACAGCAAATCTAGAATACCACCCCATACACCCAGAAACAAGCAGACACACAAAACTCTGAGGGACCAAAGCTTTGACAAAATTAAACAACAAAAAACATTTCTTAAACATATGGGGAACAAGGTAACTGAGAGAGCTCTACATAAATATTAAAGAGTTTAACCTTTTCTGTGGACAATTCTTTAAGTATTCACATGAAATGCAGAAAATTACTGAAATATGTGCTGTTCTTTGGAACAGATTTATCAGTAATAGCAACGTTTCAAAGAGTGGTTGAGCCTTAATACTAATATTAACAAGCACACAAACCTAACCCCTGCCTTAAACTTTTTTTTTTTTTTTTTTTAAATGAAGTTTCGCTTGTGTTGCCCAGGCTGGAGTGCAATGGCATGATCTTAGCTTACCACAACCTCCGCCTCCCAGGTTCAAGAGATTCTCCTACCTCAGCCTCCCAGGTAGCTGGGGTTACAGGCATGCACCACCACACCCGGCTAATTTTTGTATTTTCCCTAAAAACAGGCTCTCGCTTGTGTTGCCCAGGCTGGAGTGCAATGGCATGATCTCAGCTCACCACAACCTCTGCCTCCCAGGTTCAAGAGATTCTCCTACCTCAGCCTCCCAGGTAGCTGGGGTTACAGGCATGCACCACCACACCCGGCTAATTTTTGTGTTTTTAGCAGAGATGGGGTTTCTCCATGTTGGTCAGGCTGGTCTCAAACTCCCGTCCTCAGGTGATCCACCCACCTTGGCCTCCCAAAGTGCTGGGATTACAGGCGTGAGCCACCATGCCTGGCCTCAACTTTTTAAAAGAAAAGCACACTATGTCTCCTTAAGATGTTTTAGGCTTCATTAGCAACTTCTAGGAATTTAGACTGCCTTTTTAGTATCCCAGAATAAAAACAAGGTGGAAATGTAAAGCACCTCTTAAAAATATCCATTGTAAAGAAAGCTAGCTAGCCAATAAATAGTGTAAATTTTCACTGTACCTGAAACTTCCTGTTAAATCAGATGCTCCTGGTCTCAGCAAAATCTGAGTTAAAAAATTGGCCCCACGGCTGCCAAACAAAACAATCAGATTTTCTTTACAAAATATAATTTATAAACAAGAGAGACACATCAAAGAACAGAGTGTTAAAATGCTATACTAATTTCATAAATGTAACATTAATTTCACAAAAATGTTATTTATCTAGACCAAAAGAGAAATTTTTAGTCAATGAAAGGAGATCTGGCTAGAAGCAGTGGCTCATACCTGCAATCCCAGCACTTTGGGAGGCCGAGGTGGGTGGATTGTTTGAGCCCGGGAGTGATCAGCCTGGGCAACATGGCAAAACTCCATCACTACAATATATATATATATATATATAAATAAAAGCTGGGCGTGGTAGTGCGTGCCTGTAGTTCCAGCTACCTGGGAAGCTGAGGCGGGTGGCTCACCTGAGCTCAGGAGTTCGAGAGCAACCTGGGCAATGTGGTGAAACCCCATCTCTACAAAAAATAACGAAAATTAGCTAGCCATGGTGGCGTGTGTCCGTAGTCCCAGCTACTTGGGAGGCTGAGACAGGAGAATCACTTGAGCCCGGGAGGCAGAGGTTGCAGTGAGCTGAGACTGTGTGGTTACACTCCAGTCTGGGCAACGGAACGAGACTCTGTCTTAAATTTAAAAAAAAAAAAGTAAAACATGCACGGTAACACAATTAAATGACACAAACAGAATTTTAACCCAGGTCTGTCTGAAATCAATTTTTATTAAAATAACACTATAATTATAGGGGTGACACCTTACATATTAAGCCTAAAAGTATGGAACCGGTTACATAAATTAAAATTGAAGGTCCAGTATAGTAACTTTTGCTGAATGAAACCACTTCTACCAAAGGTCCAAAGGTTTATGCTGATTTTTCCTTAATAAAAAACATCCAGGCTTTAATCACAAGAAAAACTGTAAGAAACTATCTGGGAATATCTACTGGAAGTTGTAACCTGATCCCACAAATCCCAGGCAGCAAGGTAGTTAATACTTGCTATGAAGATATTTCAAGTAGTTATACTAACAAAGAAGTCATAACACATGCACCTACCTGATTATTTTTCTTTTCAAATCCCAGCCATATACACCTCCATTTCCTTTGTAGCGAGTTCCAGAGACAATATCAAAATTACCCTCCTTTTGCTTCCTGTAGAATAAATTAGCTGTC